TGCGGCCTCGTGGGCGCCCTCCCGCTGGCCGTGTTCCTGCGGGTCTCCTCCTTGCTCAAAGTGATCCTGCTCGGCGTGCTCACCACGTCCTACATCCTGGTCCTGGAGCTCAGCGGGTACACAAAGGCCGTGGGGTAGGTACGCTGCTCCTGCCAGAGCCCGTGGGCGGGCATCTCAAATACCCGCCTGTGGTGCCCTGTGTTCCAGTTTGCTGACTAGAAGCTCGTTACTGCCAGGGTTTCTCCCTTGCTTCACTTGGGTGCCAGTTCCAGCAAGTCCTTGGGTTTCCCCATGAGATGTGGATCTCAGCCCGGGTCAGTCCCAGGCGCCTCTGGGGGTGTCACGTCTGAGGGGCCCTCTGTGGACGGGTCCTGTGTTCTTGGCACTGACGTGGGTTTTCCTCCTTCCCTTTCACAAGGGGCGGCAGCATCTCCGGGCGCAGCTTCGAGCCTATCATGGCCATCCTGCTGTTCTCCTGTGCGCTGGCCCTGCACGCCCGGCAGGTGGATGTCAAGCTGCGGCTGGACTACCTCTGGGCCGCGCAGGCAAGAGGAGCCCCTCTGCTTCCTTGGGGGTCGGCAAGGGAGTCCCTTGGGAGGGGTGTCACATGGGGGCTCCCGGCTAGATGCCAGCAGCCGTGTGGGTGGTGTTAGGTGTAAGGACCACTGCAGTGGGGCCTTGCAGTAGGGGAGAGAGACGAGGCTCCACCCTAATACAGCAAGGGCAGGTGGGCGTGTGTAGTCAAGGGGCAGAGTGGGGGGCAGTGGATGCAAAGTTACTAAGAGGAGAGATCAGAGCTGAGGGGTTTCTAAGCTGACCTAACAAGATTCATGCTGAGGACAAGGTGATCAGACATCACCTGAGAAGGGAAGGAGATGAGGAACCCAATCAGATGTGTGGGGTGATCGGATGTCAGGGATGAGGTGTCTGGTTGAGCTGGCTCAGCAGAGTTCTTGCTAAAACTGGACAATGTGGAAGTGAACAGGGATGCCCCAAAGTCAGGGCCCAGTTGGGAAGAGGGTTCACAGTCTGGTCCAGGAGAGACTCTTGTCAGGTGGCGGGTTGTTGAGCGAGTGAAGGAAACATGGATGAGCAGGCGAGTGACTAATGGAGGATCCCACCCTCCCCAGGCGGAGGAGGAGCGGGACGACATGGAGAGGGTGAAGCTGGACAACAAGAGGATCCTCTTCAACCTCCTGCCGGCCCACGTCGCCCAGCACTTCCTCATGTCCAACCCCCGGAACATGGTGAGCATGCGGCCTGCGTGGCAGCTGCTTCCCGGGCACTGAGACCCAGCAGGGTGCTCCTCCCAGCCGAGCTGGTCTGGTGGGGGCTGCAGGGCTGCAGCTGGAGGTTTGACCCAGAGGGACCCTCCTCCGGCCTAAAATCGCAGAGGGTGGCCATTTCCAAGCCCTCAGCTGCACCGAGGATGGGAGGCCCCTGGGACGTGGGATTGACAGATGACCAGAACTGGTGTGCCCTCCCCTTTGATCCTGAAAGAGAGAGTAGCATTCACCATCCCCACGAGGCGGGAGATCGGGCTTCAGGAAACCACACTCAAGGGGGAAAGCGCTGTTTCAAGGCCTTTATGTTCTGGGTGGCACC